TTAAACCCACCAGCTGCTCCACAGAAGGAAGATGAGGCAATCTACTTCCATAAAGATTTACAGCCTTGGAAACCCAATGGGGGTTACTAGGAGTTGGAATTGACTCAACAGCAATGGGTTTGGTTCTTTTGGTAAGACTGCCTGATGGTGCAGTGGTTAAGTACTCAGCTATTAACCAAAAGGTGGTGGTTTGAAACCACCAGCTGCTATGCAGAGTGTTGAATTACCCACTAAGCAAGGTAAACACAAGCTTACTCGTGTTTACCGACTATAGTGAACAATTTCATATTTTTTCTCCACATCAAAGATTTTATTTCTAGGTATGGCTGGCTTCTGTCTCTTTCCTAACCTCACAGAACCTTCCTACAGAATCAAAGCCTTTTTTCAAATTTACAATCCCCAAAAGGGACAAAGTACCCAGTAAGCAAGGTATGCATAGGCTTACTTGTCCTAAGGGCTTCAAACCACTTCATTTGAGTTTGACCCCCTGCTGAGAATCTAGCTTTCCACCCAGATGTACTGAATCAGAACGTACTGTTCAACAAGATCCCCAGGTGATCCTGGTAAGATGTAGATAGTGATTCAGTATATCTGGGTGGAAATGCAAATTATCAGCAGAGGGTCAACCCAAATCATTCAAAAAATGTGGTGAAACCCATGTGAAACCCACAGATTAGTAAATAAGCACAAGTAAGCCCATGCTTACCTTGCTAACTGGGTAACCCATCCAACTCTGCAGTCTGCTTCCATAAAGGTTATAGCTTTGGAAACCCTACAGAAGTTCTACTCTGTCCTATTGGGTCAACATGAGTCGGAATTAACCTGAAGGCAACTGGTAACGGGTAGAGAGCACTCTGAAGCTGACCCAGCTCCTCTATCCAGAGCACTTCCACAGGCCTTTTCACATACCATTCCCTTGGCCTCCCCAGCACCTGGCACACACTACTGCCTAGGAAGCACTTAACTGCTTACTGACTCAACTGCTGTTATCCAAGAAATAAACACTCTACGTAGTTTAGTGACCAACACTCCAAAATGCTCAAGTCTAAAAAACATCCTACATGGAGAGTTGCTTAACATCAGCTAAACCCAATTACTTCTTCATATCAGTTTTTTCCTGTTCCAAAAAGTTCTGCAAACAGTTCTAGAACTGGCTACAGGGGCCAGATATACAAAATCTATTAATTCTTAACAGTTCATAAGGTTTTCTTACATAGTTAGGCTTTATTAATAATAATAATAAGCTTCCTCAAGGCCATTTAAATTTCAAATACAAGCTTATAAATTCATACAGTGAAAGGGTTAAAAGCTTGAGAGGCCATATGTGCCAGAAAGATCACAAGAGATCACTTACTGCTATACTCAAGTAGCTTTAAACATTTGGATATATTTTTAAAACAGAGAAGTGTGCTTTATCACAATACAGCTTATGCCAATTTAATGTGCTACACTCATAACAGTAAGATGGTAGAAAGAATTTTTTTATACAGCCTTGTTAACCTCAAAAAAAAAAAAAAAAAACAGCCTTTTCTAACCAAAATAATGTTTTATTCCACGTAACATTTCAGACTGCACTGCTCCACCTCAACACACACACACAACCATGTACAATAAGAGATACACCCCAGAGGGAGGTGGGAGACCAAGAAACCCAAACACAATGATACAATTTTAACAACTCATGAAACTAGTCTTGGGCTTCCCTAATATCTGTCGTTGTGGTGCTGTCGAGTCAATTCCAAGCCACAGCAGCCCTATAGGACAGAGTAGAACAGCCCTGTAGAGTTTCCAAGGCTGTAACCTTTATGGAAGCAAATCCACCAAGGCTTTTCTCCCAAGGACAATGGTGGGTTCAAACTACTGGCCTTTCATTTAGCAGCTGAACTAAGCCAGGTGGCATCATGCCACTAGGGTTCCTCCAATATCTCTAGTTACCATGAAAAGGTTTAACGTACCCATTCACTATTTCAGAGCCCTTGGGAAGCCAGTGTGGACTCCAGGCACACAGCATATCAAAGATGGAAGGTAAAGTCAAGGCACTACTTATTTGAATTGTAAAAGAACTACAGCTTTCTAAGTTTCTGTCAAATGTGGCTAGTTAATGGTACTGGGAGAACCAGAGCACTGAAGTCCACTTTTAAGTTATCTTTATTGCTGAGCTGTTCCTTCGCCTTTCAAAAGTAGCAGGAATCCTGTGTTCTCTGATGGGTAATGCAAAACGTGCGTATCTGGCCCAGACTTGAACAGTGGGGGATGCAGGGTAAGAGTGTACACCATTAGGAGATGGGGGGGGGGCAGGGACTTCAGAAACTCAGGATGAGCCCTTATATTCACAGAGGCACTAAAGAAACCAAGTAGGGAGTCTCTGGTGCTCAACTAAGTCACACTCATTTTGACAAACAGCCCAAGAGCCAAATCCTTTCCCTCAGAATTACACCAATTTAATCTCTGGATACAAGGTAAGCATTGTGGAAGAAACTCAACATAAAGAGTCTTGCTGTTAGCTCTATGTACACATACTAAAGTTACATATGGAATTAGGTACCTTTGTTTCTGGTAAAAGGAGTCCTAGTGATGCAACGGTTAAGCACCTACTGCTAACTGAAAGGTCAGTAGTCCGAACCCACCGGCCACTCTGTGGGAGACAGATGTGGCAATCTGCTTCTGTAACGCATACAACCTTGGAAACCCTATGGTGCAGTTTTACACAGGGTAGCTATGAGTCAGAATCAACTTGATGTCAACAAACTGGATTTTGGTAAAAATTTAGAGGCACTGAGGCAGTAAAATAAATAACTGATGTTATGGGACTCCTCCACAACCACCAGAACAATTATACACAATGTACAAGTCATCTTTCTAAAACTCCATATTGATAATACACAAACTCTAAAACTACAGGCATACCTTAAGACATTCACTCAAACTCACTGCCGTCGAGCCAGATCCAACTCACAGCGACCCTTCCTTGGGCTTCCAAGGCGGTATCACTACGGAAGTACAAGATTGTCCAACCTTCCTTCTGAGGAGTGGCTGGTGGGTTTGAACCTCCAGCCTTCTGGTTAGCAGTCAAATGCATTAGGCACTACACCACAAGATGTCAGTTATTTGAAGTAAAATAAGCTTGACTCCAGAGATAGTAAGTTGTCCATGATCAGAAACAAGAATGTCAACAGAGAGAACTGCTACCATCCAGCTCAGCCAGTTTCAGAAAAATCAGCATTCTCTGATTCTCACCAACTGCAGAGTCTAATCTCTCTCTCTCCCTCTCCCTCCCTCCCTGTGTGTGTATGTGTGTACTACCTCTGGGGATTTAAGACCCAGCACAGTTCTTGGTAAGCACTTGTACTTTTACAGCTGCCTGGCTTGCTTCCTTGCCAACTTACTCACGTTGAAAGTTTAGCGTAGCCAACAATGGCCACCCGCATCCCCTCCCCAGAGGCAGTTAGGCCAAGCCAGGTGGCTACCTTGTTGTTGTTGTTATGTGCTGTAGAGTAGGACCCAACTCATAGCGATCCCTCCCTGGGAGGCAGTATCACTAGGGAAGTAGATTGCCCCATCTTCCTTCCAAGGAGTGGTTGGTGTGTTTGAACCGCCAGCCTTCTGGTTAGCAGTCAAGTACCTTAGCTACCTTAGGAAGATTTAATAATCTTAACTTTACCTCTTGGGTAGTTCAGGCTCCTAAATCACCTACAAATACTTAATTTATCACAATACAAGTGACCGCATACAAAACGAGCTTTCATTAAAAGTTTATCGTAAGTACTTTTTACAAGCACGTCACTCATTGCCAGTTATACCTCTGTAAAACAAAACCAGTTAAAAAGGAAGCAGGTACCAATTTAAGACAAGGCCCCAAAGAAGCTTTCCTGGGGGTAGGAGAGCTGAGGTCATCCCTTCCGCGAGTTCCACCCCTAATTAGACGGTTCCACTAAGGATGCGTGGACACTAGTTGTCAAGTCCTTCCCTATTTAGCGGGAGCTCCCTTTCGTTTTCTCAGCTGCCTGCGTTCTGTGTTTAGGTGTACAGAGTACTAACCTGCACCTATCAAGTTCTTCGCCCTCCTCCGACTCTCCTCCCACCCAGCTCCCTTCTCTGCCTGCAGATATGTGAAGTAGTACCCTAACTCCAAACCTCCCCGACAGCCGCGCCTCCAACTACCAGCGGGCACCGCTATCTGAGCCAACTTACTGGTCATGGCTTTTAGCCTACACAGTAATCAAGTTTCGTCTCTAAAAGGGGAGGAACCAGGTTTCACAGACACCATATTCCCGAGAAGTTTCTGAGAGACACGCAGCACACAGGCCACTCACTTGTGTCGCTTTGCTGTTCACTGTGTCTACAGCCGACTGTAAGTCCAAGAAAAGTTAGGGCTTTCCACCACCACCCTCAAAACCCAGGCCCTGGCACCGAGCCTAAAAAAAGCACCGCCCCTCCCGGGTCCGACGCAAGTAGAGCTTCTCTGGGAACCCCGTCAGCTGCATCTCCAACTGCGCCTTCTGAGACCTCCGGATTCGAATCCGCGCTTGCTCAGCCGGCCGCAGGAGGTGTGCGCGCTCAGGGGCATGCCTTGAAAGACCGCAAGCAACCGCGGGCTGGCGGGGTCTCCGTCTGTTCTGGGGAGGGCGATGAAGGCCCCCATCACGCACTCTTCGGCCGCCCCTCCTACGCCCGGCCAGCGCGCAGCCCTAGAGACGCACGCAGCAGGAACTCACTGAAGTTTGCCAAGACCCGGCAGAAGTCTCTGGAAAGTTGCAATTCTGTCTCGGAGCGTCTCGCCTGGCCTTCCCGGGCGGGCTGCGTATGAGGGGGGGGGGGTTGCCGCCAGAGACCGTGGAGAAGGGAGCACCGGTTCCGGCACCTGCCCGACCTCCCCTCCGGCCCCCGAGCCCCCACAAGGCTTGGCAAACACTTGAGCACAGCTCAGCCGGGCAGACACCCGAGGGCAGAGTGCGTGGTTCACTGGGGACGCTTCATCCTCGCAGACGGCGTGGACTCACCTGGGCGGCGGAAGAGGAGGCGACAGAGGCAGGACCTTGGCGTGGGCAGCCCCAGCAGGAGTGGCACGGTCACGAGAGCCCCCGGGCAGCGGCACAGAGTGAGCGGTCCCGCCGCCGCCCCCTTCGCTCTTATACCGCCTGGCCACGCCCCCGCCTGCCACCCCCGCCCCTGCCCCCGCCCCTAAGCCTGCCCTCCCGGGGGAGCCAGGGGAGCGGGGCGGAACCACAGCCGACCAGCTCCTCCCTCAGGGCGCTGACGGGAGAAGGCAGGGCAAATGTTGCCCTCTGATTGGCTCCTTTAGTGAATGGTTGCTGAGAGACGAGTAAATCTTCAGCAGCGGGAAGGGGCGGGGATCGGGGTGGGGGTGAGTGTGTAGAACGAGGTAGCACTGCGCAGGCGCAATAGAGAGGGGCTGAGTAACGGTCCCCTTAACTTGGGGTTGTTAGGAAGTGCTTTCTCTCTACTTTCACTACACTGTCGTCTACCTTTTATGTCGTATAACTTTTCCACCTCTTTGCTACTCTTGCAGGTCTGTTTTTTTTTTTTCTTTTTTTTTCCTGTTTCTCTGGTGCTTCTCGCGCTGGTCTGCTCCAGGAGTGGAGAGTGAAACTCCCAGACCTACCTACAACGTGTGCTTTTGAAGTCTGAAAAGACTCCCGGTTTCTGGTCCCTAGGAACTTTTCTGATTCGTCAAGCAAATTGGCTGAAGGTAAAGGGGTGCTCCACCACTGTCAGTTTGTGGTTCTGTAGTGGGTTGCGTGTTGTTCTGATGTTGGAAGATAATGCCACCCTTATTTCAAATACCAAGGAGCTCTGGTGGCATGGTGTCTAAGGCATTTGATTGCTAACCAGAAGTTTGGCAGTTCAAACTCACCAGCCACTCTGCAGAAGGAAGACTGGGCAATCTACTTTCCTAAAGATTTACCACCTTGGAAAACCAGAGGGGGTCTATGAGTTGGAATCTACTCAATGGCAGTGAGTTTTTTGTTTTTTCAAATACCAGCAGGATCATCCAAGGTGGACAGATTTCAGCGGAGCTTCCAGACTTGCATAGACAGAAGGGCCTCATGCCTAAGGCATTTGACTGCTCACCCGAAGGCTGGCGGTTCAAACCCACCAGCCAGTCCTTGGAAGTAAGACTTGGCAGTCTACTTCCATAGTGATATCACCTCAGAAACCCAAGGAGGGGTCTCTATGAGTTGGATCTGACTCCACCACAGTAAGGGTTTTTTTTTAGCAACTGACTTAAGAATCTGGCCAGTGAAAATCTTATGTCTATGAGTTGCTATGCAGAACATTATCTGATATAATGCCAGAAGATGAGCCCTCAGATTGGAAGGCATTCAAAAAAGGTCTAGGGAAGAGCTGCCTCCTCAAAGTAGTTGTTGTTGTTGTTATGTGCCATTGAGTCAGATCCGATTCATAGCGACCCCCTACTTGAGTTTCCGAGGCAGTATCACTACGGAAGTAGATTGCCCCATCTTCCTTCTGAGGAATGGCTGGTGGGTTTGAACCGCCAGCCTTCTAGTTAGCAGTCAAGTGCCTTAGGCACTATGTTACCAGAACTCCTAGTCAACCTTAATTATGTGGATGAAATAAAGCTTTTGGGACTTTTATTTGGTGATATGGCATGTCTCAAAATGAGAAGAACAGCTGTAAACATCCATTAATCATAACATGGGATATATAAAGTATGAATTTAGGAAAATTGGAAGTCGTCAAAAATGAAACAGTGGGCATAAAGATCAGTATCCTAGGCATCACTGAGCTGAAGTGGGCTGGTACTAATTGGCCATTTTGAATCAGATAATCATATGGTCTGCTATGTTAGGAATGACAAACTGAAGAGGAATGGTGCCACATTCATTGTCAAAAAGAACATTTCAAGATCTATCTTGAAGCACAATGCTGTTAATGACAGGATAATATCCATACGGCTATAGGAAAGACCAGTTAATATGATTATTATTTCAATTTACACACCAACCACTAATGCCAAAGATGAAGAATTGAAGATTTTTATCAACTTTCTGCAGTCAGAAATTTATTACAAAGCCAATCAAGATGCATTGATAATTACTGGTGATTGGAATGTGAAAGTTGAAAAAAGGAGGAAGGATCAGTAGTTGGAAGATACAGGCTTGGTGATAGAAACAGTGCTGGAGATTACATGGTAGAATTTTTCAGACCAATGATGTACTTGTTTCATATATCTTTTTCAACAGCATAAACAGCTCCTATACAGGTGGACCTCACCAGGCAAAACACACAGGAATCAAATTGACTGCATCTGTGGGAAGAGACTATGGAGAAGCTCAATATAATTGGAACAAAGTCAGAAGCTGATTACAGAACAGACCATCAATTGCTCATATGCAAGTTCAAGTTGAAGCTGAAGATTAAAACAAGTCCATGAGAGCCAAAGTAGGGCCCACCTGAATTTAGAGACTATCTCAAGAATAGATCTGATGCATTGGACACTAGTGACTAAAGATTAGATCTGTTGTGAGATGATGTCAAGGGTATCATCATATGATAAGAAATCAAAAAATCATTAAAAAGAAAATACTAAAATTGGTGTCAGAAGAGACTCTGAAACTTGCTCTTGAACAGAGAATAGCTAAAGCAAATAGAAGCAACAATGAGAACTGAACAGAAGATTTCAAAGGGCAACTTGAGAAGACAAAGTATTATAATGAAATGTGCAGAACTGGAGTTAGAAAAGCAAAAGGGAAGAATACAGTCAACATTTCTCAAGCCAAAAGAACTGAAGAAAAAAATCAAGCCTTAAATTGCAATAGTGAAGGATTCTAGTGGCTGCAACAATGGGCTCAAGCATAGCAAAGATTATGAGGATGGTGCAGGACTGGGCAGTGTTTCATTCTGTTGTGCATGGGTCACCATGAATCAAAACTGACTCAATGGCATCTAACAACAACAACATGAGTTGAACAAATATTGACTGAAATATTGGAAGAATCAACAGCAGATGGAAAGAATACACAGAGTCACTGTACCAAAAAGAACTGGTTGATGTTCAACTATTTCAGGAGGTAGCATATGATCAAGAACTGATGGTACTGAAGGAAGAAGTCCATGCTGCACTGAAGGCATTAGTGAAAAACAGGGTTCCAGGAATTGACAAAATACCCACTGAGATGTTTAAAAAAAAAAAAAAAAATGCAATGCTGGGAGCTATACCAAGATATTTGGAAGGTAGCTACCTGACCAACTGATGGGAAGAGATCTGTGTTTGTGCCCATTCCAAAGAGGTGATCCAACAGAATGTGAAAATTATAGAACAGTATCATTAATATCTGGAGAAAGATGTGACAGTCTGCTTCCATAAAGATTACAGCCTTGGAAACCCTATGAAACAGTTCTACTCAGTCCAAAGAGTCACTATGAGTCAGAACTGACTCAAAAGAAGTAGGTTTATGGGTTATCATTAATATCAAGTAAACTTTTGCTGAAGATAATTCCAAAATAGTTGCAGCAGTTCATGGACAGGCAACTGCCAGAAATTCAAGTGGATTCAGAAGAAGCTGTGAATGTGTGATATCATTGCTGATGTCAGATGGATCTTGCCTGAAAGGAGAGAATCCTAGGAAGATGTTTGCTGGTGTTTCAATGACTACACGATGGCATTCGACTATATGGATCATAACAAATTATGGATAACATTGCAAAGAATCAGAATTCCAGAACACTAATTGTGCTCAAAAGGCAGTCATTTGAACAAAACAAGGGAATACTACATGGTTTAAAATCAGGAAAGGTGTGTGTCAGGGTTGTATCCTTTCACAACACTTATTCAATCTGTATTGAATATGCTGGATAATATGAAGAAGAACACAGCATCAGGATTGAAAAAAGGCTCATTAACAACCTGTAATATGCAGGTTACACAACCTTGCCTGCTGAAAGTGAAGAGGACTTGAAGCACTTACTAATGAAGATCAAAGACTATATCTTCAGGATGGACTACACCTCAACATAAAACAAAAATTCTCACAACTAGACCAATAAGCAACATCAAGATAAATGGACAAAAGATTGCAGTTGTCAAGGATTTCATTTCACTTGGTTCCACAATCAATGCCCATGGAAACAGCCGTCAAGAAATCAAATGACTTATTGCATTGGGCAAATCTTCTGCAAAAGACCTCTCTAAAGTGTTAAAGAGCAATGATGTCACTTTGAGGACTCAGGTGAGCCTGACCCAAGCCGTGGTATTTTCAGTCACCACATATGCATGTGAAAGCTGGACAATAAATAAGGGACACTGAAGAAGACTGCCAAAAGAGCGAACAAATCTGTCTTGGAAGAAGTACATCCAGAATGCTCTTTGTAAGCAAGGATGGTGGGACTTCATCTCATGTACTTGGACATGTTATCAGAAGGGACTAGTCCTGCAGAAGAATATCATGCTTGGTAAAGTAAAGGGTCAGTGAAAAAGAAGAAGACCCTCAGTGAGTTGGATTGAATCAGTGGCTGCAACAATGGGCTTAAATATGGCAACATGTGAGAACGGACGGTGCAGTGTTTCATTTTGTACACAGGGTTGCTATGAGTCAGAACTGACTTGACTGCACCTACCAACCACAACAAAGGGGTGTTTTCTAGGGAAAGGGGCCAGTGCACTGGTTCTCTGTATCTATCACCTATGTGCAGTTAGTGGTGCTAAGGGCCTTGGGGAATTCATGGCCAATCTCTGCAAACAAGACTGCTTCAGTCCTACTCTGGATGTATCAGAATGCTCAGTCCTGTAAATTACATAACAAGTAGGTGGGGATTGGGCACCATCCATTCATCCCATAGCAAGTGGTTAAAAGCCCAGATTCTAAATCCAGGCTAACCTGGATCTGGATCTCCACTCACCACTATATCTGTAAGGCCTTTGCAAGTAAGTTAACCCCAAAAAAACTTCCTTTTCCTCACCTATAGAATGGGACTAAAATAGAACAGCTATGTAGGGTTATATAAGGATTAAATAAGAAAATGCATGGTAAGCTATTTATTAGCACAGTGTGTAATATTAAGTGTATGCCAAATGTTATTTATATAAAATCATAGCTATTATTACTTATCAATTA